GTTGTTGCGCTCCAAGAAAGTGCATCACCCGAGCTTAGAGCTTCTCCTCCGAGCCCAAGAACTTCTAGAGAAGGGATGATATCGGGGTCTAACACCCGAGCCACGCTGGGTGTCATATGAGCCATGCCGCATTTACTTGCCCTGATTGCGGTACTTAAATCATTCATGCGCTCAGCATCTGAAGGCACACAGATAGTTCCACCAACAGCCAACGTGCAGAGCATACAGTCAATACTAACATCGAATGCATAAGAAGCAAATTCAAAGACACGAAGTCCGGCTCTATAACCGACCGCAGCGCCACGGGGTATGGCCCCGCTGGTGTAATTCGAGTGAGAGAGCACAACACCTTTAGGTTTGCCAGTGCTACCTGAGGTAAAGATGATATACATCGGGCTGGAAGGGGGCACTGGTGGTAGTTGAGGTGGAACTTGAGACTGATATTCGAATAGAGCATCAGATACGATGACGATATCCGCGTTAGGTGCAATGCGGCGTGCTAAGTCCTCTTGCAATTTTGATGATAGCAGAATGTTGGCATGTGTTTGTTCCACAATCGTACTCAATCGTGCAGGTGGTTGTGCAGGGTCCGTTAGCACAAAAGTGCCGCCAGCTTTCATGATAGCAAGCACGCCAACCACTGTCCAACGTGACTTCTCAAAGCACAGCGGAACCGCATCTCCTAGGGAAACCCCTCGTGTTTTTACCAATTGAGCTGCGAGATGGCTGGAGAGAGACTCGATTTGAGCGTACGTCAGCTCGCCATCCCATGAGGATACTGCAATAGCATCTGGAATCTGGGCAGCTTGCTCCGAGATAATGTCATGGAGACAACGGTCAATCGTCGGCGGTAGGGCAGCGTTCCATTCCCATATCTGATTGAGCTCGAAGCTCAGTGGACCAAGAGCGTCTTGGACGAGCGAAGATGGATTCCAAACGACCAGGATCAGGAGCTCGACAAACACGTCAAGGTAACTCTCTACCTTTATCTGGTCTAGCTTGTCCGTTGTCCATTGTGGATGTAAGCATACCTGGTCCTCTACCAGGCTGATCTTGAGGCTGAATGATGGCTTAATATATTCGTTAGCTCTATTTGCTGCTGCGTTGTGGTTGAAAAATTCACACACCTCGTCGTTATTACTATCTTTATTCATAACATTATTGGTTTCGGTTGCGTCAGAGAAGAATAAGATGTTGCTGCTTCCTAGCCTTGATGAGGTATCACTCGAGTTTCTTCCCAATGCATCATTGAGAATGTCCAGAGCCTCTGAGATCGTTCGTTGCGGTGCAGTTCCGACATTCAATATTTCGCCTAAGGCGTCCCCGGCGGGTAGCGGAAGTAGTTCATCTTCACCTTTAGGAGTATGGTAGCCCCAGATATATTGATTGCCTTTCCCGTTCTGCTCTTCACTTTGTTGCCGCGTGACGAGTAAAATCCAAGTAAGCAGAAATGCTACTTCAGATACAGTGCCGGCATGAACATCTTTTCCCTCGTGTGCGGGCTGCTGCAGGCGGACTGTCCTAGTGCTTGACGAAAAGGGAAGATGTGGCACACCGTTATTTCCATTGGTATTAACATGTCCGTTTCCATTGCCATTGATATATGAGGCAGCACCTGGTCGATGGAGTCCGCCGAACTGTGCTTCTTGCACGAGGTGCATCATGACCAGGAGTGACGTTTGATGTGTCTTGTTTCTCGGTCCCGACGCTGGAATGCCTGCATGAGCGGCTTTTCTGCCCGGCGGGATGAGATGGAGCCACAAGCACACGCTATCTACTAGGCCAGCTGCCGATTTGCAGTTTGGTGTTGAATTTGGATGGATATCAGTAACGGTTGGGCAGATGCAAACTATGGCATATATTCTTTATATTGACTGCCTTGAATTATAGTACAATAGAAAGCAAAGTGTAATTTCTATCCTCATCTGTCCTGGTAGCTAGCTGGAGGGGACCTCGATTCATGGGACAGGGGTGTCATTCTTTTCTCCCGCCCATAATGACACCGATAGTGGTCTCTTTGCCTCAGCTAGATCACTTGGTTTATGCCTAGGCACCAGTGGAGAGACGACAAAATTAAGACCAGCTGTTGCTGACCGCGACTAAGCTCTTTCGGCTTCCACACCTGGCTAGTGCAGACAGGACATGTTCATTGCAGATAAACCAGGCTTGCGGCGACCGTGTAACACGTGCAGACAGAAGAGGTGCGTCACGCTCGATCGTCAACACCTGCCGATCGTCGGTGGATGAATCATCGCGCAATTCCACATTCACTGCCAAGGATTGGCCATGGGTGGTCCCCCTCGTCCCCCTAAGGGTTACAGGGCAGGTTAATGTGTCACAATATCAAGGATCTAAAGAGACACCTTATGAAAGGTCTTCACTACACATGTATCGTACTGTTCTACTTTGGGCAAGCTTGCCGGAGTTGAGCGGGACTAATATCGAGTAACAGGTCGAGCAACATTGTACTATGACAAGATGTTGTATTGTGCCGAGGAAAGAACAAGGGTCGCCGGATCTGATAACGTTAAATACTCCTTAGCTCGAAATGTACACGTACTGTACATGTACCGTAGCAATGGCCGTGGGCACGGACGCCGCATCGGAGTCCTTTAATGCCTCAGATGTACCTAGGTTTGCTGGGCGTTCAACAGCATCATTTTAGGACAGGAGCAATCACCTGGACGCTAGTGATCAAATTGTTCATGTACAGTACAACCCCTACTCCTCGCTATTTCTTAGCGTTTCCACGCCTTTTTCATTCGAAAGCCGGTCGGTGTCTTGGCCACCGGTTTCGCCCGTGACGGAGCCCCGCGTTATAGCAAGCTGTGCTAGACACCCAAGTCACGACTGCCCGTTTCCAGACGGCACAGCTCTACACTCTGCAGCAGACCCCTCGTGGTGCTGCCGTGATTCCATGCCGTAGCATGAGAGCCAAGAGGAAAGCCAAGAGAGCCTCACCTCTATGGAGACCTCCACAGATGTCTTGGGGGCGATCAATATCTCATCAGGGCAAAACAGACATATCCCGTGGAAAAGGTGTCAAGTATTTGAAGATGCATCCCGCTATGTAGTCAGCGCATTCTCGTTTCCCGTGTAGTTACTCTCTGTTGTCCCATCTGTCAATTACTGTGGCGTGCACTACTGGCATCAGTGGCGGTCTCTAGTCACACTCGCATGCACGTAGTGTAGCGCCGACTTGGAATACGGCATACAAACAGACATACGATCGAACATCTGGTTTCGACTTAGCTGGACCGAAGCGAATCAGGCCGTTGAGCGCCTCAAACGCCAAGTGCTGCAGGCTGTTATTGGCCGCCATCTTTGCGAATTACTTCCCCAATATGGCCTTTTCGGTACTGCCAGTCTTGATCCCCGATATTCCACAGGCGTTCGATGCATATTTCGCTGCATTCCAGGCCGATCCGGAGGGGCAGATAATTCTAGACTTGCTCTTCCCTGGCGGTGTTACGGATGACTTCCGTAAGGCACATGCGGCCGCTGTGTTAGGCTACTGGCACACTGCTGATACACAGTATACCTTTAAATGTGTCGACAACACTACTGGTAATACTGTGGGTATGCTTCTCTGCGACATGTTCTTCCGCGAACGCAGCACAGAAGAGCGGCAAAATCCAGGTATCACATGGCTGGAAGGGCAGCAACGAGAACGCGCGGAAAGCGTCGTCAACCCCTTGTGGGACATGAGAGAGAGGCTATGGGGCGGACGACGGTACATCTGTAAGAACCCCTGTGATCCTATAGTATCAAGCCTTTACGACATGCCCTAAGACATTGGCCGGTTGTGTGGATAGCGGCCATGTCGAGACTTCTCAACGCTAGCTGAGCACTACCGTGATTAGAGGGAATGCATCCTCGCTGACAGGCATAGAAGACATACACGTCTTTGCGGTACACCCACAACATCAAAAGCGCGGAGCCGGTAAAGCACTAGTGCAGTTCGTCATCGACATGGCCGAGACGACAGGACTTCCAGTGTACCTAGAGTCAACGCAATCCAGCATGGGTCTTTATGAGAAGCTAGGTTTCCAGCGACTCCCTCAGAGCGTAGTGCACAAGGCCGAGGTCCTTGGAACAGCAACAGATTGCGAGGTGCCGCTGATGGTTAAGCATCCCAAACAGTTGACCACCACAAAACCTGCCGAGCGCTGATGTGGTTGGGATGGGCCGATTGAGCGGCGGGGTATGCATGGATCGCATGTCCTTGAATCAGCATGGTTTGCTCAAAATTATGGACAGAATAAATTTTTTTTGCATCATCAGGCCGGTCGGTTTGTGAGCATTGCGTAGTATCCAGAAAATGGGTAGCTAACGATTTGTACCCAGTGATTTCATGCCTGCAGATGTACCGGTTCAGTCGCTAATGCGGACCACGTAGCATTCGCAAGGAATGGAGAAGCTCCGCTGCAAAATTACCAAACCGATTGTGTATAATAATTGTCAGATCAGGGCGATTGTGTCGTGCGATTGGGCAATGAAAGGGACGGGGCTTGAATGGCTTGCACACGGTGGAAACGTTGGGCGGATCAGATAACTTTATCTGGGCAGGGTGGCGGCTGCTAGCCCTGACGATCGGTAGTCCTTTCGTACTGTGAGCATTCATCTCTTGACCAAGTCTTGGCTGTTAGAAGATAATGTCTTCCACCTTTCCAGATCACTAAGTGCAGCTGACCTGGTCATTTGTATGCCGATGACGGAGCCTTCGACTGGCCAGACTTAGGCACTGTGGAACTGCGCTAACCCAGTTACTCCAAATGTTCAATGGTGGTAATTATGAGGAGATGCCAAACTTGCATGCTTGCAGCTCTTGAGAACGAAATCACGAAGCCAGGATCTTGCGCTGCAGACCAGAGAGTAGGGTAACAGACACATCACGATACTCGAAGATGCATCTTGGTCCGATAGGGACATATCAAACCCTAAAACTGGTTGCAATACATCTAGACGCCCCGGATTGGCTGTCGATAAACGGTCGATATTTAGATGACAATACCTTTTACTTGCTTGATGTGCTTAACATTGACATCTCTCCATGCCATGATTGCAACCAACCCAATGACAAGAACAGCAGTCGATGCGACAAGCATTAACTTCTGAGCATCGGCATAGGCTCGAGCAATCGCCATGCGTGTTGGCGAGCCCATTGGATAAGAGAGTTGGACTCTGATGTCCCCGTAGATGGCTTTCAGATCACCCCTCGATTCTGGAGGTAGGTACTCAGCCAACTTCTTGGGGAACTCCCCAGTCCATATTGCAGCGGCAAGACTCTGTCCCATAGCGGCACCGATGCTGGTAAACATTGCTTCAATAGCTAGGACAACGGCAATGTGCTGATGCGACACTGCTGCCATAGCCGCTATTTGCTCGCAGATGACAAACGACCCGCCTGCAACAGCGATCAAGATCTGACACAGGATGAGCCAGCCCAGCCAGACCTCAGGCCGGCGAAACAGCAGCATTGATGCGACGCCAAGAAAGGTGAGGGGCATGCCGAAGTAGAGGGCTGGCGCCTTGTAGCGTCCAGTCGCGCGGATGAAGAGCCCCACGGCGACGGACCACAAACAGCCCCCAACGGTGAATATGCTGTTGATGTATGTGGCAGGGGTTACCGCAAGCCCATTTACCACCTGCAGGAATGAGAAGAAATAGCTGTCCCAAAGGTAAAAGCTCATGAACAGTGAAGCTGGGAGAATGCTTGCGCCAAGAACGGTTCGGTCCGTCAGGAGATGGTACGGCAGAAACTGCACTGGGGCGAACCACTTCTCCCACTGAGTACAATTATTAGTCTCTCCTCTCCCATTTTTCAGAGGACGAAACCCCCATGAATCTAGAGAGGTCTAGAAGGCTGGCTTACCACAACGAAGCACGCAAGGAGAAGTGCGCCAATGAAAAGCATTGAGAGTACCAATGGAGACCTCCAGCCGGCGGTTTGATATGAGTAAATGCTGAACGGCAGGAGAAACAATGCAAGCCCGGCAGATGCCAAAATAAGACCCACACCGTCAAACTCAACAAAGTGGTGCTTGATGGACTCGATTGTAGTTCGCACGTTGAATTGTCTTTCCGAAATGAGTCCCCGTGATTTGGCCTTGCGCAAGTTCCACACCAATAGCCCGAATAAAGGCATCGTGACTACTGGTGTTATGATGCTAAAAAGGGCGAAGCCCCAGCGAAAACCTGGCCCGTTAAGAATTGCTGAGGCAGTCGGGCCTCCCAGCCACATCGTCAGGATATTCGGGGACGTGGAGAAGGCAAGCATCAAGCCTCGATTTCGCAGAGCTGAAGTGTCGGCGACAAAAATACCTAATGTGTATGTCAAACCGTTATATCTGCAAAGAAGGGTCGAGTCAGTTAGGATGAATCCCTCAAAGTCCATTGACCAAGAGACGAGAAGAGTTGCTGCAGTTGGCAGAAGACAACTTACCCAACCCAATAGAAGACCTGAGCTGCAGCATAGGTTTCAACATTGCGGCATGCTGCCATCATGACAAGGCCTATGGTTAGCGTAAAGACAGATATGGCATAACCTTGCGGTCTGCCCCAAACATCAAGTACTTTCGCTAATGTCAGCTTGAAAACACCACCAATGATGTTCGACATGATGCCCGTAGCGGCAGTCAGAGAGTGCCGCTTGAAAGCGCTGGTAACATAGGGAGTCAGAGAGCTAGTCGTGCCTTGTTGCCATGTGTCGACCAGGTAAATGAGCCATATCCTGTGCGATCTTCCGTTAGTTGACCGATACCTTCAAAAAATTGGCTGAGGCTATCGGGTAGATAGCCTGTATCGTGCGCTTCGGCGGAATACCGACAGAGACTTGAGGCTCACATCAAGTAGGCAACAATCAAGGTCTTCCTACTCCACACCGCAGCGGTCGCCTCAATATTCTGCACGCCAGTCTGCGCCCCGAGCAGAACTGTTTCTTCATCACTTCCTCCATTTTCGCTGGAATCATCGCTGCAACAATCTCGGCTGGATGAGCGTGAACGGGCTTTGTGATGGTCGTGATCCGACATCGCCGATGTGAAGCAACTCTGTGTCACTCTACGAGCGATCTTTCGCAGGCGAGATTACATAGGCAATTCACAGGTTTTCGAAAGACCATGGTAATGGAAGGAAAGAGATGTCGAGGTGAATGCGCACGGAAACTCAGCTCTGTTTCGAGAATGAATGCAGGCTGACGAGCTGGTAATAAAGGTAACGTAGAGGCACTCCAGCTATCACTATGCTATCTATGTGTCGGAAATCAGGCAGGTGGAAGGCAACAATGGGGCGGTGATGACACCGAATTGGCTGGCTGTCGTAAATCCTTCGGGACCTGAAACTGTTGCGTGCAGGTGCAGGCCAATCCCGCATGCTCGAAGGGAATTTTAATGAATAGTGTTCTCATCAATGTCACAAAAACGACTCAAAGTCTTAGAACAAACAACGCATGAAAACAAATTTCATCTTGTATGAAGGAAGCAGTCAAGACCGAAACACGCGCAATCTGCCCACTACTGCACGGGACGGAACGCTGACAACCTCACATTTCCGCTCCTTCGCAGGGGATTTCGGCAACCTCTAGAACTGGAACTGTGTCAGAAGGACTAAACAACGTGAGGGGTCAGGTGCATGGTCAAGCGCACTAAACAGGGTGACGGTGAAGAGAGATTCGACGCGATTGGCACAACTTGCAAAACACGGACAAGTAAGCCGTTGCCACCCGCGTCACCCCGAGGTTTATTCGGCCATTGCCTACCACTGGCCAGTCTTTGCGTGATTCCCCCGCTTGCTCAAAAATGCTGGATGGGTTTGAGAACAGAGGGGTTACAGATCAGGGGACTTTGATTAATAACAGTGGCCGGCTTCTGAGATACTAAAGCACAGTGAAGACATGGGTATTGGGTACACTGTGGACTGGGGTCCTCATAAGCCAAGTGGAGGAGTGGAGCTGCGAGAATTATCTGATCCGCGATCTTTTTTCTTGCAATCTTATCAGATCCGCCGTCCGAAAGCCGGCATCGGCCTACATCGGATTCCCAACTGAATGAAGAAATGAAGCAATCCACTAGCCCTATTAGCGTGACAGGGGATCCCTCGCGATGTCGTAATGACCTGGTTGAGAAGTCGGCATTTTTCTTTTGCGTAGAGATCGGCGGTCTATGTACCCTTACTAGGGGCTACGAGAAGCACCTGCAGGACATTTCGATATGATTGGTTAGTAGGATGTGCCGAGCTCTGGGGGAAGCTTCCAGGGGCAGAAAAAATGCCTGGGAGTGTCAACGGTGATGCTCTCATAGAGATTTGGGAGTCAGTCTAGGATCGATCATGGCAATCGCAGTCCTTGACGAGAAGAGGGATCAGCCGACCGCAAACCCCAACGGCGCGCAAGTTGGAGGAGTTGTGGCAGATGGATCCTCTTCAGAAAAGTCTGGTGACGAGGTGGAAAAGAAGCCAGTAGAGGGATTGCCGGTTAGTAGAGAATGCATCCTATGCCTTGTTCATCGCATTCACGTCGTAAGATGGGATAATGGCCGCTGACAACATGTCGCATTTCGTGAATATAGTTACGGAAACAGCTCGCGGCTTATTTTGAGCTGCTTTTCTACGCACAACCAACATGGATCGATGTCACTCTCATCATCGTCGGCACAGTGACAGCGACCGCGGCTGGCGTGCCCTTCCCATTGATGGGTATTCTCTTTGGTCAGCTGGTTGATAATATGAACTCGGCGACTTGCGAAGCTGAGGAAGTCGGCAGCAGCTACACATACGAACATGCCATCAATGACCGAGTGCTAAAGCTTGTCTATATCGCCATCGCGGCTTTAGTCCTCATCTACATCTATGTCACATGTTGGAGTATCGTCAGCCAGCGTCTGGCGCAACGTGTTCGGGATCGCTACTTCCGCAACCTCCTGCGCCAAGAGCCAGCATTCTTTGACGATCGCAGAGCTGGGGAGGTTTCATCAAAATTGAATGGCGATATCCAAGCCATCCAGTCAGGCACGTCAGAGAAAGTAGGGGCTTTCCTTGCGTGCACTTCGTTCTTCGTGACGGCATACATTGTGGCCTTCATAAAAGAACCTCGACTGGCAGGCATGCTCGTATCATTAATCCCAGCATTTCTACTCATGGCCATGATAGGAGGGGCGTTCATTGCAAAATTCTCTGGGATAATGTCGGATGCCATTGGCTCTGCGTCCTCAATCGCCTCCGAAGCCTTGGAGCACGTTGGCGTGATTCAAGTCTTTGGTGCCGCACCACGGCTGGAAGCTAAATTCGCGGACCATATCGCCACCGCGCGCAGCGCTGGTATCAAAAAGGCAATAACCGCAGGAGTTCAGGCAGGATTGCTTTACTTCATTGCTTATGCAGCCAACTCTCTCGCTTTCTGGCAAGGCAGTCGTATGATATCTAGCGCGATGTCTGGACACGGAGATTCGACAGTCGGTGAGATCTACACAGTTGTTTATATCCTCGTGGACGGATGTGTAGTCCTGGGTACTGTCGCCCCCCTATTGCCGCTATTTGGAGGTGCTGCTTCCGCCTTTACTAAGCTCAGGGAAGACATTGAGCGGAAGCCAGCAGTCGACAACAGCACGGAGGAAGGCACAGCTCTCTCCTTTGATACTCCAGGGGGTGTCAAAATGGAGGGAGTCTCTTTTGCATACCCATCGAGGCCCAATCAGTTGGTGCTCCGCAAAGTCAGCCTGGACTTTCCAGCTGGTAAACATACTGCTATTGTTGGCCCTTCTGGAAGTGGCAAATCCACCATTCAGTCGCTTATTGCAAGGTTGCAGTCCCCTCAAGAAGGAGCCATTCTACTCGATGGTCATGATATTCGAGAACTCAACGTCAAAAGCCTTAGGGGATTTCTTGGGCTGGTTCAGCAAGAGCCTTCGCTGCTGGACCGCTCCATTCTGGAAAATATTGCCCTTGGCCTTGTCAGCTCGCCACATCCCTCACATGCGCACCTTCAAGGAGTATTATACGGGTCAGACCTCGCAGAACTTGCATCTCATGGCAAAGATGTGTTCGCCGTCGCAAAAAAGCAGGGTGGCGCTATTGCAGAGATTGTGGATCTTGTTCGTCAAGCCGCAGATTTAGCCGATGCTTCTAGCTTCATTGATCGTCTTGAGAAGGGATGGGGTACGATGGCTGGTTCCGGTGGCTCCATGCTTAGCGGTGGTCAGAGACAGCGAGTTGCAGTTGCGCGTGCACTCGTCCGTGACCCGAAGATTCTCATTCTTGATGAGGCTACCGCGTCTCTCGACTCAGCTAGCGAGAGACGCATTCAAGCTGCAGTAGAGCGAGCTGCTAAAAGCAGAACGGTCATCTCAATTGCTCATCGCTTATCCACCATTCGAAACGCCGATTCAATTATTGTCATGCAAGCGGGCGAGGTCGTAGAACAGGGAAGCTACGAGGAGCTGATCGCTCGAGAAGACGGCGTCTTTGCCCACCTGGCACGTCTTCAATCGCTTACTGGATCAGATGAGATTGAAGCAAAATCCACAGCTAGCATCAACGATACACTGAGCTCATCCTCGTCAAAAGCCGAGATTGATCTAGGTTTGGATGAAGAAAAGATCGACGCATTACAGGATCATACCTCTCCAGTGGTCTCATCCCCGAAACAAGAGCAAGCAGACAATGACAATGACAAAGACAAAGATGACTTGGCTGAAGATCTCTCAGCAACGGCTGTCATCAAGGGTGTTGGGCGACTCGTTCGGCAGTGGCTCAAGTGGATTATACTCGCGTTAATCGCAGCTGCGCTTGTGGGTTGCAATTTCTCGGCATCTGGTCTTGTATTCGGTCACACGGTTGGGGCTTTGAATCCGTGCAACACCACTGCTGATCGCGTGAAGTCACTGGGCGAGTTCTACGGAGGGATTCTCTTCATGTTAGCCGTAGTTGTGCTTCTCGCCAACTTCGTTACCTGGTCTTCATTCGGTCTTGTGGCGGAGAGGCTCTTGTACAGTGTACGAGTACTTTCATTCCGGTCACTACTTGAGCAGCCCGTTAGTTGGCATCAATCCGGCAACAGAAGTTCCACAAGCCTTCTGTCTATTATCACCAAGGATAGCGCAGCTCTCGGTGGCTTAAGCGGGTCAATCATTGGCACAATCTTCTCGATTCTGATCAACTTCCTTGTCGCCATCATCTTATCCCACATCATTGCTTGGAAAATTGCCATTGTGTGTCTTGTTGTCGTTCCTATCCTGCTTGGCGCAGGTCTCATGCAGTTGCGGAGTTTGTCTCGTTTCGAAGAACGTCACACCGACGCCTACTCCCGTGCGAACGGCATTGCTGTGGAGGCTGTCAATTCCATCAATACTATTGCCGCTCTCTCGCTTGAACGGGAGATCATGGGAACTTATTCTCGGGCTTTAAAGGCACCACGAAAGGACATCGTTTTGGCAAGCGCCTGGGTCAATGTTTGGCTTGCTATTAACAATAGCACGGGATTTCTAGTGTATGCTTTTGCATATTGGTGGGGCTCACGACTTATCATGAGAGGCGAGAACACTCAGACTCAATTCTTCATCATTCTAATGGCCATGCTTGTTAGCGCTCAGCTATGGGGTCAAATGTTTACGCTCGCCCCAGAGTTCTCGCGTGCTCGCGCATCGATTGCTCGTATAATCACAGTAATCAATCTAGGCTCAGATGCTCAGCTAGACTCAAAAGAACTGGCAACTACAGCGAACGTGGAGAGACGAGGATCTTCTGGCACAGAAAGGGACATCGAAGCAGTAGGGGAAGCAAAGCCGCCAGTGCCTGTGAACAGCAAAGGTGTACGCGTGACTTTTGATCGCGTATCGTTCGCGTATCCCGGAAGACCGGATGTTCCTGTTCTCCAAGACGTGTCATTCACTGTCCAGCCCGCCCAGTTCTGTGGTCTGGTGGGCCCATCTGGAGCGGGAAAGTCAACAATCATGGGCCTCGTACAGCGGCTATACTTCCCAACGACAGGTACCGTGACGATAGATGGAGTAGACATCTCCAAGCATTCCTTCCGTGATGATGTGGCTATTGTGCCACAAGACACAGCTCTTTTTGATGGAAGTGTCAAATTCAACGTTGGCCTTGGAGCCAAACCTGGTCACGAGGCCACCGACGCGGAGATTGAAGAGGCCTGTCGACTAGCACACATTCATGATACAATCATGGCTCTGCCTCAGGGATATAACACCGAGTGCGGTCCCCGCGCATCGCAACTATCCGGTGGTCAACGGCAGCGACTATCCATTGCGCGAGCACTAGTACGCAAGCCCCGTCTCTTGCTCCTGGACGAAAGCACAAGCGCTCTAGACGCGGAGAGTGAAAGAGCACTCCAGGCCAGTCTTGAGGTGGTTGCTCGTGATGTTACGGTGGTTGCTATCACACACAGACTTCATACCGTACAGAAAGCAGATGTTATCTATGTTGTGGAAGGAGGTAAAATCGTAGACAAGGGTCGACATGGAGACTTAATGGAGCGAAGTGAAAGCTATAGAGTTAATGCATTACAGCAGATGCTGCAGTAGAGAACACACATCTGCGTATCTTGGGGTACCTTGCATAACCGGTGTTATAGCATTTTTCGTTTGAGAAGGTAGAGAAAACAGTTCTACAATTCTTAGAGGTATAGTCGGATCTTTATTAGCATCAGTCCGCACTTTATTATTGCAAATTTTACGTTTACAGGAAGAAATAGAGTCGTTGACTGGTATATCTAGAATGTCTTTTCCTGCCTGCGGTGGCTCGTCAAGCATTCAACATATTGATTTCATTGACCTTTGATCATTGTGTCGATATTGCTGCTCGTTGGATATAAGCAATGCCAAATGACAACCTCGCGTCTTGCCTTGCGTCGTTGCCAAGTATAGAGAAATTCATAGACATACATACAGCTCATAACTTACACCTTCAAGCGAGGAATATAGAGACATCTCGAGACGACGACGACGACGCTAAGCATCCTCACAACTCCGTTAGCATGTGACTTACTGCTAGATATCTGCGGAGACTTGTGCACAAGCACTGCACAGACAACATGTTGTAGCTGATTAAACTAATCACCACGTTCAAGAAATCATCATCTAGCTAGTTGAGTCTTACAGATGAATATACACGAAGCTGGGCGACTCATCTCGCTCTAGAAAATGGTCTGACCGAAGCTCGCCCCTATCCTTGGTTGTTCAGTTGTTCTACTATCCAGTGTTGACATTACAATGAAGGTATCGGAACCAAAGCTGAACCAAATTCGTGCCGGATCCCGGTTAAGGGAGGTGGTAGTGGACCCTGGTAGCTCCTTGGCGTCTGCACTTGAAGTTCTGCGTTACATGGCGGGACAAATAAAGATAATTAACCTTAACCACCACCTCGGCACAAGCGTCTCCACATGGTTAACATTAGAAAGGGTTCCGAACAAGCCGTTCCACCCCTCATCATGTGGGATGTTAAGCTATACGAAGCAGGGTGCAGGCGAGAACCACCGGACATCATCGCTTGTCGATGTGGCGTTCGACCATGTCCCCGTACGTGTTTGTGTGCTTGCACTATCGATGGTACATTGTCAATCTAGTCTATCTGAGTCTCTTATCACGCATTGGCACCGCGTCTGGAACGTCTTGGGGATTGTGGCGTGGAACAAGGTCGTTCCAGCTACAGCTGGTGCCTCCTGCCCAGGCTACCTGGTTAGGTATTAAGTAGCGAAAAGTGCGACCGTCTCGCGTGGCTTCTGATAGCTCGTGCATGTCCAAGACCAGATAACACCAATCATTAACTAGCTCTGTGCCCTCTAAGTTGCCATTCACCGCATTGGCGATGGCAAAACCTTGTAGTCCCTGCCGGCTGCCGGAGTCCGAGGAAGGCAATATGCGTGCTCGAAATTGGCATTCAAAAGGGAGATTTTGTTCTCGCGTAACATCTGTCCCTAATGTTGTCTGACTGTTCATCAGAGATCACGTTTTTCTCTTTACTGTGTCAAAAACATCTCTCGAGGAATTATCTTCATAAACATTGACATCACAGAACGGTTCAACCAAGATGGTTCTCGTTGTTCTCCCTGCCCTGATTCCTGACATCAGGAGACTCTACGATGTCTACTTCTCCGCTTTCAAGCATGACAAGATGGGTCAGATTCTTCTGCAAATTTTGTTTCCTGGAAGTCTTGTAGATTCGGAAGAGTTCAGGGCAGCTCATGCGGCTGGCACCCTCGACTATTGGCACAAGAGCAGTGTTCAATACACGTTCAAGTGCGTGGATAGTGAGACTGGAGAGATCGTCGGCATTGCTCTGGGAGACGTCTATCTGCAGCCACGCAGCGAAGAGGAGCGGAAATTCGAAGGTGTTCCTTGGCTTCAAGGAGAGCAAAGAGAACGTGCCGAAAAAGTGCTGAAGCCTCTCTGGGAGGTACGCGAGAATTTGTTTGGAGGACAGCCATATCTCTGTAAGTTGGGCCACGTGGTTTGGAGCACTGAAGACCGGAAGCTTACCGAAAAACCTCGTTTTAGACGTGCATGTTATCGGCGTGGAGCCCAAGCACCAGGGTCGCAAGGCAGGGGCCGCAGTAATCGAGTGGGGAACCGACCTCTGCGAAAGAACAAACCTTCCTCTTTACTTCGAATCCTCTCCTTCGACAGTTGCTCTCTATGAGAAATGGGGATACCAGCGTCTAAACGAGAAGATTGTCCACAGCGCAGAAGTGCTGGGTACAGAGACAGACATTGAGGTGCCTCTGATGGTCAGAATGCCCTCGGGGGCTGGCGGCATTGACTTCTACGACTGGAAAGCCAAGGGCTACCCTCCATTTTCCGGCCGAGTGCCCAAGAAAATGCCAAGTCCCAGCAGCCAGCCGAAGGAGGTCAAGGACACTGCCACAGAGGCCAATGGTGCCAAGCCAACCACTATCGCCGTGACCCAGGTCACCAACGGCACGAAGGTGGTGACAGGGGTAACAGCAGTGACCGAGGTGAATGGACTCAACACGAGCGGAGCTAAGGCCTCCTCGGCCTGGGCAAGATGGTGGAGGAGGAGCGGGATAAAGAACGCAGCCGATACCGCCGCGCCAAGCCAGATTATCAGATCCTCTGATAATCACTAGTTGCAACGCTAAGGCTACACAGGAATGTCCTGTATTTGTACATAAAACACGCCACGCCAAGCCACGCCGGTGGTACTTTAAGTAATATTAGGTGCTCACGTTTCATTAATCAGAAGCCAACTTACAAGGGTGACTGCTTCAGCTCTCTGTCGGTGAATTGCTCGTAGGCCCGCGCCGCCTCTCGCTGTATCGAATTTCCCGCGGCTTTATGTAATGTGGCTTGCACAAACCTGAGCCGGCGTCGTAACTTCGAATTTCGTCCGAACTGGACGGAGCTTCGGGAATTTTGAGATTTCAGCAGCTTTCGGTCGGAGATGGAAATGAGCAAAACGGAGGTACCGTTGTATAAGTTCTAGGAAACTGGAACGACTTCGAGCCGCGCATGCTTCTCTATTTCTGTCGAAAATGTGGCAACGATTGCAGAAGGCGGCCTTATTTACTAGGCTGGTCGCTTATGCATTCAAGGCGTATTTTGTGATCTTACGACGATCCGTGGATGCCAAAGCAGTGGCCCTCTTTTCGCGAAACGCGCCGGACACCCCTCGAACAAAGAACATCGTCGTCGTCGGAGCGGCCTTTGCAGGCTATCATGCCGCACGTCTGATTACGAAATCATTGCCCCGTGGCAGCCCCTACAGGGTTGTTGTAATCGAACCCAATACGCACTTCAATTTTACTTGGGTCCTGCCTCGCTTTTGCGTCATTGAGGGGCATGAGTATAAAGCATTCATTCCGTACGGAGGCTACTTTGCAGGAGTTCCAAAGGGAGCTGTACGATGGATTCGAGATCGCGTAATTTCCGTCGGAAGAACGAGTGTAACACTACGAGACGGCAAGCAAGACATCGATTATGATTTCCTCGTCGTAGCTACTGGATCGACAGTATCCTATGGTTTACCATCACGAGTTGGGTCAGAGGACAAAGCGGAGGGAGTGGAATTTCTCCGAGGCGTCCAACAGCGAGTGAAGAATGCCACCAGGATTGTGGTTGCAGGTGGAGGAGCAGCTGGAGTGGAGGTCGCCACAGATGCTAAGGGGGCATATCCTGACAAATCCGTAACACTGGTACACTCACGTGGCGCTGTGATGCACAGATTCGGGCCAGGGCTACAGACCGGGGCAATGGAGGCAATAAAGAAACTAGGCATCGAAGTTATCTTGAATGAGAAGGTGATAACTCCGGATGCTAGCGGGGGATTCGTCACCCTGAGTTCCGGACGAGACATTGAGTGTGATTGCTATGTGAGTAATTCCAATCGTACCGGGTTTATACTGCTCTGCTTACCTGAGATGACAGCTGAATTGTACCGGGCAAAGACCAGCTGGAGGCATCTTAGCAGATCTTGCTGCCGGGTCCATTTCACAATCAGGGCATATCAAAGTCAAGCCTACCCTACAAATTGCTGATGATAACCTCTCAAACATCTTTATCTGCGGAGATGTAGCAGATACCAGTGCACACATGTCAAACCCTAATGCTCGTTCTGCAATGCGCCAAGCCGAGGTGGTAGCAGACAATGTTATTCTAGCCACACGAGGGAAGCAGCCTCGTCACAAGTATACTCCACAATGGGGAGACGGCCTAATCAAACTGACGCTGGGATTGGTGAGTTCACCTCATTGATGTTCTATTATGGCGAAGAGTTAGCTTGTTAAGAGATATCTACAGGATCGATCCATACTAGAATTTTGGGATGGTAAAGGAGAGCTGCTGTTTCCAAGCCAAGAGAAAGACCTTGCTCTCATGTGCGATGAGGCTTGGAAAGTCATGGGTGCGACTCCGTTTAAAGATCCAGGAGAATTTAAGGCAGAGTGATGGCACTAATAAAAGAATACATAATATAATGGAGGAATACACAACCTTACTGTAGAGGATAAATAGGACCTTGAAAGGATCATTTAGAATGAAGCTGCCCATAATGCTACTATAATGATTCTTTACCCAATACTATCATGAGCATCCGTCATCTGTTTTGTATGAATCCGGCGTTACCTAAAGTAAACCATCTAGAATCGCTATTCTGTATTATCTCTTTAATCACTGCTTAAAATATACTCTTTCAAGAGATAACTTTCAGCAGTTCTGTTCATTACGGACATGATAATCTGTCAGATTTGTGCCTTGCACTTGTCACTTGAACATCATTTGGTTGATAGCTACAAAACATTCCGCAATTGGTTTGCCATCGGAGCTTTTGCCGGTCCGTTGCCGGAAAAGAAAGTAAACATGGCCTGTGCAACATCACAGGGCTGAAGCCCCTTCGAATAGCCACTCTCAACTAAAGCTCACTAATGACAATAGCTCACAGCAGCGGACGTAATTTGACCTTTCAGTTTCAACATATCCAAAGGTGGATTAGTCTAGTGGTTATGACGTTTCGTTGTGGTCAAATGAATCCGAAACAGCCCGTGTTCGATTCACGGATCCGCCATGTCTTGTCTTTTTGGTTCCTAGACATACAGATCTCTCCTCTTATAAAATGAGCATGATCAATGATCAGTGGACCTTAGTGCGCGACTGCTGGCTAATCCGAGATCAATATATCCCAAGCCGAGCAATTGCTTGCTGAAGTCAATAATGGCGTGTCTCAATTGTACTGTGTCTGTGATGGTTGGTAAACGTGGTCAACAAGATGCGCTTAAGTTATCATTCTACATTGAAACGGGGACAGTCCGATTTAGATGCGGCTGTGGGTGGTGGTCGCCAGTGATCGTCAGGGCTGCAGCATAACTGTTCCAGGGACATCCTTGGCGAAAACAAGCAGAGTACTGTTTTTCAACACGTGGCCAACATGCATCAATTTTAACGTACTTTTTTGACATATGGCGTCTTCAATTGGACGCGAGCCCCTATTCTATCATAAGTTGCGGCAGATTGTGACCTGTTACTCGATCTTACATCATCTCAAAGCACTGGAAACGAGCCTCAAGGATTGCGTATGATAAGGCATAGCATACATACGATATGGCTGAGTATAGATGACATTTTGCTCGAGGAATACAATAGCGGATCATCTATAACCAAGGTCTCAATTGAATTAAAAGCTAACCAATCCGTGCATAAATGAGAGCAGTACGTTGCCGTAGGATCGTGTCCATCTTCAAGCCCAGTTCCTAGGGGATCCTCTCTACGTTCACGAGGACGAATCTTGAACACCCAATTCATATTCATTTGCCCATGACGAAAGGCTCACGACCAGTCGGTCAAATACTTCCCGTGCTGACACAGTTCGGAAGGCTTGGTGTGAGAGAGCCGACAATGCTACTAGCGCAGGAGTTGACATAGTTGAACAGAGATGTTATGACAGCGTTGAGAGGGGAGACGGTGATGATGTTGGTAATGCCACCAATTGAAGAGACAACGCCTTGATCAGCCGCGATGAACTTAAGTTCAGTTAGCCAAGCAGTCACAAGGAACTATTCAAACCTTAAAGTCAATGCTTACCTGATTCAGGCTGGCGCAGATAGCGACCTGATCGGTTGTGTCGAAGACACTCCCTGATGCATCCTGGGCGATTTCAACGGCATCCGCAGCGAGTGCAGCAGCATAGGCAGTGAGGTCAGTCACAAGTACCTGAATTGAACATTAATCACACTGAAATGACTGTTGACGATAGTTGACCTGGTCATGGCTTGGACTTACAGGTAGTGTTGAAACTGCATTTCCCAGGGTAATTGTGCCAGCCAGGCTGTTTGTCACTTGAGCGAGGTTCGTCAGTGCCATTAGCTCCTGTATAATTTCCGTCGCGTTGAAGGAAACGGTCTGAGCGTAAGTGACCGATACCGCGGCGGTAAGGAGAGTGAGGTGCTTGAACTGCATGATTGCGACGTGGTATGCTTGAAGTAGAGTGAGACCTCACGCACAGCTTGAAGAGTCGACTCGTAAGGGTGGCAAGGCTTGTAAGAGATGGTGTTCTGATGGGGATATAGTAGATTGGAATGCCAATACCTCGTGAGGGAATCAGCAAGACTTTATAGTTGAGTTGAGGCCGTGGGTAAGTCGTACTATACTGCTTCGAAAGGTGCCTATTACATATGAGTTCTACCAAACCCCGTGACGGATGTATTGATGTATCACTATGGATGTGAGACCGTACTAAACTGATGAATAACAATGACAGCTCGCGAGGCGTTGTGACGTGGGACCAATGGGGTGATTCCAGGGGTTATTCTTCTTCTGCCCGCAGCACTTAGTATGCACAGGTTTTCTACCGTCTACCATTAAGTTGCAACGCAAATATTTTGGCGCGTATATTGGCTTGTTAATTTGCGGCAAAGTGTTATGCCATTCAAAGCCTATGATGGCAGTGGCGCTGCCCACCGCTGCCCACCGCTGTCCGTTGTTCCCGTAGGAATGAGGCGGCAGACGAGGCTTGAGACATTTCTGCCATTCCTATCCGTCTATGAGGCTGCGTTTTTCTTGTCTATTTAGACCACCAAGCGGATAGGCTATGTTTCAGACTTTTACATTCTTCTAAGAGGCCTACCTTTCGGTTGTACTTTTCACACCGGGTTCATTGGCTGCCACTGTCACTAGACAAAGGCTGAACACAATACACCTCTTGTCTGGTTGTTTGACCCCTTCCTACTCGGCTTGTGTCCACTTTTTAGACACACCCGAGTATCTCAGCTATTGTATCAGTCGGAATGCACACTCCGACCAAGAAAATGAGGGACGGTGAGCTCCTGAGACATGTCAATTGTAGCCGTTATCTCCGCAAAGTTTTCCGCCACCGGCTTTCTTCTTCCCGTGCGCCCGTCATCGTTTACCATATAAGCTATTGAGTTTATCACGTCGTACAATGCAAATAATGTTCCGTCATAGCCGAACCTTGTAGTGCCATGGTCTTTGATGAGTGAATCCCCTATCGCCTCTAATCCCCTTTTTCCAATTTGAGGATAACACAACAACCCAAGCCAATCATCTATTGCTGTCAATCACTAGGACAGCAATAATTTGTGACAAGCCATCACATAACACAAGCCTACCGAGCACGTGTATAGTCGTGCATGAAGGGAGCAGCGTCGCGCGATTTCTGTCACTTGGCCAAGCAGAAGAAAAGTCAAACAGACGGGACGCGGTCGCTAGTCCAACAAGAGCGAGACATGCAGTGCCGCGAATCCACCCGGCAACTTGAACACGGCAGTGCTAGACGCAACAGGTCCGTTGCCCAGCAAACAAAAGCCAAGAGAAGGCGGCGCTTTTGAGGGCTGGGCGTTCACAACGAAGTTCCGGCACGTGGCTTGTAGAGCAAATATCGTTCGTGATCTATAACATGTCATCCGACTCTAAGCGGCTTTGCGTCCCCTCCCACCGAGGGTTTAGTCATAATCATTGTGATAATTGGCTCACGGTGAAACGGTACGCCCCTGTCCAAGATCTGAGACCACCGATAAAATCAACGTCATGTATTCAAGGGATGGGGCGGGACGCCTCGGCTTGATGCCTGGCAGCTGAACCTTGAAGATAGGGTGCTTCTCATCGACCTCGGCTTGAGACCCCAATAAGGCCAGATAGCGTAGGTTTAGCTAGATGTGATGATGGAAACCGTGAAGTAAGATCGGTAAGGTTCAAGTAGCTAGGCGTGTCATTCATACGTTCCCGCTCTCAATCGCTGTAGCCACGCCGTGTAGAAGTGGCCCGACCTTCGTGTTGTGATGTCGTCGATGAACAGCAGAGTTTCGATCGGAAGGAATGGTTTCTTTGGCTTTCGTCATCAATTTGGCAATCTTTCGGGTCACTTACATTTTTGACTGGGAGAAACAATATAATTGCCGATAAATGTCGGCCATATCGGGGACCATACTGGGTGCGGTTCCCGGGGGAAGTAAATGCTTATCAGGCTTGCCGCCAGTGAGAATGACGACGACTATCACAGATCTTTAGACGCTTGTTTCTAATCAAAAGGTTGATTCCAGCCCAAATCGCGACTCTTGGAGATACATATGGGAGATCAACAATAAGGGACAACGAGCATTAGTCAGCGCCATGATATGTGATCAATTCAAGTACATATGATCCTATCTAAGTGTAACTTGTGGACGATCTTCTAGTTCTGCAGATCTGCCTGTGGAGTATCAAATTAGCCATTAGTGTTTTTCTGCTCCGAAATCACTGATTCAACCAGTCTTGTCTGCGATTGTGACGCCCTTCTCGCTGCTTTCTGCTGTATCCTGCCCCTCAACTACTTCGTTCTTGTTCGGCGGCACATAGCTGCCTTTGAAGTACTTGTACATCAAACGGATGAAATCTTTGCCTTCCCAAATTGGCAGTAAAGTGATAACTCCAGCGGCGAAGAAACCCCAGAAGAAAAGTACTACTACCCAACCCTTGAAGAATCCTCTCGAGAAGATATATCCTGTGCCATACATAGGTATCGGCCAAAGCAAGCAAAATGCCAACGTCAAGAATACACTGATGAAGATCGCCCTGTTTCGAGCTTTCAGCAGCAAGGTTTGATTCTCCGCGTCGTGGGCCGCATCTAACTGAGGCTCTTCGCCTCGCGCCTCGTACGCTTCTTCATCGTCGCGCTTGATTTTTGTATGGAAGATATTCCAATCAAAATTATCGGGCTTGATGTAAGTGATGAGAGGTGTCAGAATAATCGGCGAGCATAATGACACCATGTTACCAGCAGCTAACGGCAGCGGTGCATTCAGCGTTGTTATATTGATCACGCCTTGCTCAGTCTTAGTCTTAACAAACCAGGCTAGCAATCCAAGACAAGATCCAAGTACTGGGGAGAGGATAGCAGCGAGTTTTGACTGCTTCTTCCACATGATCGTGCACGCCATCGGAACAATCATGCTGTCGACGACAATACCCACGCATACAATCAGAAATCCGACCGAGAAACCAGAAACGTGATTGAATCCGACAGCAACAGCAGCCGCGACCACTGCGAATCCGGGAGTTGCCCAGTGAGAGAACCGCATAATATCATCGCTCGTGGCGTTGGGGTGTATATATGCTTTGTACAGGTTGTACGCGAGTAAGGCTGTTGTCGCAACAGTCTCAGAAGACATAGCCGACGTTACTGCCATGAAGATCATGAGCAAAACCGCTACAACACCTCCTGTGCCCATGACTGTCATCGCGGCATACGGCATAGCCATGCCAGCTGCGACTTCATCTGCAGTCATGCGGTTGGGATAGGTCGGAAATTGGGGTAGATGTTCCGCCCCGGCTGCCACGATTCCAAACGTGCTAGCTAACACAAATGGAATGGTGAACCATGACAGACCACCGAGAATGTAACCCATTGAGGTGCTACGGGGATCGGCAGCGATTGCCTTTTGAAACAGCTGCGAATCAACCGAGGCAGCGAAGCCAGCGCCAATGAGCACCAGACCGATGTACGCACCGTCCTGACTTCTCATGGTGAGGTATTCTCCGCCTGCATTGCCATCGACAGGATGTAGTACCGAAGCTTCCTTGAGAAGATCCCACATGCGATCCGACGACCCAATAACATCGGAGGTGGTGTAGACAATGAAAAGAGATATGAGCATTATCACATAGATAATGACCGTATGAATCCAATCTGTAATGAATGTTGCCTTGATGCCACCTGCTAAGGTGTAAATTACCACTCCAATGGGGAAGAGGAAGCATGACGCGTCTCGGTTAACGCCGGTCCTGAGGGAACACCAATGTGAGCTGCAGAAATTCAAATTACTGATAGGGGACGACATACATCGCAGAGTAGACCGATGATCCACCTACCAGCAAACTAACTGTAGTTAGAAGTTGGTAGACAAGGGAGTATGATGAGAATAGTAAGTGTGTCGTTGTGCCATAACGAACGCGGACAAGCTGCAGAAATGTTTGCGCCTTCGGTGCGCGTCGCTTGAGTTCAATTGCAGCCACAGAGAACAGCATGATCTGTACACAAGCTCCAGCAGCATACTGTTGCTCAAGTCAGAGTTTACGCTCTTCTGCAAACCGTAGACAGGACATATAATCTTACCCAGTATGGACCAGACACACCGTAGTCATAGCCGTATGTCGTCGAGGTGAGCAGCGTTGCTGCGATTGTCCAACTTGAGACAACGGCCGATGCTGTTAAACCTGTCTTCACCGAATGCTTCGCTGTCATGAACATTTCGGAATCTTGAATCTCATTCATGTATCGGCTCAAAGCCCACGATATGGCGGACATGCCGATTGCAAAAGCTGCCCCTACTCCAACGATGATGCCATACCCAACCCCTGAACTAAGCGGAGGCGGGATTTGAAACCCCGTTGCTTCTGACATGCTTGTGGCAGTTGCTCGTGGCTTGGAATTGCATGCAGCAGAGAGGAACGAGAGGAGACGATGCTTAGGAACCGCCAATGCACAACTAGAAAACAATGCTTCAAAGTATGTATCAAGATCCAGAGTTGCGGTACACCTAAGTTTAATATGGCTTATGATCTACACCGTCATATCTAACTCTAGGCCACGTTCTGCTGGGATTACATTGATTGCCGCTCTGATTGTACCTTCGTACATTACCGATGTAAGTCCGCCTCAGCAGTCACATATAGCATGCTCCATCGTGCGATAACGGATCTTTTTCCAGTTTAGGAGAACCGATGCACTGACGCAATAGCCCCTGATGCTGTCCCGGGATACCGGGCTTTGTTCTGCAGATGTTGATGTCTTGGATCGCCGCCAAGACAGTCAAGGCCAGATAGATGTCACCTGTCATTTGCAGGGTCGGCTTGCTCCGGGCAAGATTGGGCTGTCATCCTTATCATGGTAGGATTGGCGATAACTAGGCGCATGCATCGACAAGGCGGACTGTGGATACTAGAGCTCATTTTATTAGTCACTTATCAGAAAGACGTTTGCATTGTGCGATCAATAGAGACCTTTGTGTTTCCTCCACAGGGCTGCTTATGGTGTTTCAACTACCAGCTACTAGCATGGCCGACGGCAACTTTCCTCGGCAAGATAGCGGCAAGTTACGAACGGCCGTTAGTGGAATCATTGCGAGAGGTGATTGGCTGCTCCTCCTATAAGTCGGTTGACAGCATGCCGCCGACAACATGTGCCGATCATGGTGGGGCAGCCAGACAGCTCTTATCTTGACCCCCTTTCCAACATGTGCAGTAACGGCAAAGCTACCCCTGCACTGTACGATGCTGCGCCTTGTGCAGCAGTGACGACACTCTTCATCTGCCCCTCACTAGTCCGGCGAGACTGGAGACCCACGCTCCAAGACTTCGAAGGAGGCTTACTTGCAGTATATCCCAATGAAAAAGACACATCACACCGAGTTTGAACCATTTGATGACCCAAACGTCGCGCTCACAATGGGTTCAGTAGCTCCGAAACGCAAGGCCTTTATTAATGTTGACTTGGGCGAGGCCTATGGCAACTACTCATGTGGCCCAGATGAGGAACTCATCCCAATGATCGATCATGCCAATGTGGCGTGCGGATTTCAGTGAGTACTCTTGAAGCGGCACGGTCTAGAAGCAATAGCTAATGAATCACAGCGCTGGGTGAGTGAAGGAAAGTCTTTCGATTACCAGTGAGCATCTTAATCTAACTACCAACAAGAGATCCGTTGCACATGGCAGAATCCATTCGTTTATGCAAACAATATGGCGTCAAAGTAGGAGCCCATCCTGGTCTGCCTGACATCCTAGGATTTGGTCGACGCGAGATGAAATTGTCACCAGAAGAGCACACTGCCAATATTATTTACCAAGTAGGTGCCCTGAAAGGCTTCCTCGATGCGGAGGGCGTGCCTTTACATCACGTCAAACCGCACGGAATCCTTTACGGCATGATGTGTAGAGACGTTGAAGTCTGCCGTGCGGTAATGGCCGGCATTCCAAAAGGCATCAAGGTCTTCGGGCTGGCGGGCACGTGTATGGAGCAAGTCGCCGGCGAGATGGGCATTGAGTTTGTCGCTGAGTACTACGGTGATGTGAAGTATCGGGCAGACGGATCACTCATTGTGGACCGCAAGAAGCAGCCGTGGAAAATCGAGGATGTGAAGAAACACGTTCGGCAACAATTAGAAGAATCATCAGTTACCGCGGTGACAGGAGAGGTAGTTCCTCTTCCTACAAAAGAGTATCAGATATCTCTGTGCTGCCACTCGGACTCTCCAGGGTGCGTGGAAATTGTAAAGGCTACGAAAGAGATTGTGGATGAGTTCAACAAGGCAAATGGGTTCACATAGTCCTCTCATGTTGTATTCCTCCACGCAATGCAAGCTACCTCCAAAAGTTCGAAACGCACATAGTGAAACTAATGTGAAGATGCCTCTTGAGGACAAAAGCAAGTTGTTTCTCCTGTGACACTGGGCTACCCCGGACCCTCGCTATTGGAGATGCAGTGGGTCCGATACTTATCATCAACCCAGTGCCGTAGATCGGCAAATTTCGAGCCGATAAGCAAAACTTCCCCGTATCTCGGTCAAGTCTATCTGTCAAAGGAATAAGAATTACTGGTATCCAATCAACTGTCGTTAAATTTACCCCTTCTCAGTCCTTTCACCCGAAGATCGCTGTATTTCGTGGTGCTCATATGGTGGGGAATGAATGATGAAAGCTAAACTGGGGAGCTGTGATAGCAGGTTTCAGGGGGAGCTTCCCCACTCCTTCACGCCATCGCACTACTCTTATCAGCGGAGTCAGATCGGCAGGATAGAAAAGCTCCGTAACAAACGGCCATCCATGGACAGCTACTATTTCGAAAATGGCATGTCCAACCGGATTACGGTCTAGCATGTGAGCTCATTCACGAACCGAGATCATGGACCAGGTTGTGTCGGCGAGAGTTGCCTTCTGCTAAGGCGAAAACTGTCAGAATCAAAACGCGTCTCGAAATCTGTATGCACCGCGCTTCCGGGGCCTGGAATACGTGCAAGTGTCAGGGAGAACCAGCAGGACACCCTCCTAAGACAGCACTTTGTTTGCAGCCAACATGGAGCATCTGAAGACTCTGCTGATAGCTAATCGTGGTGAGATTGCCGTGCGTCTCATCAAAACTGCAAAGTATGTGTTTGAATGATACAACAACCATGTGCCCAAAGATCGAAATGCTAACCTGGTAAAGGCGATTGGGAATTCGCACTGTTGCTGTATACACCGAGCCAGATTCTGCGTCGCAACATGTAGCACAAGCTGACGAGTCTCATCTTCTTGAAGGCGATGCTACGCGGGCCTACCTCGACGGCGATCAAATCATTGCCATCGCTAAATCTACCGGTTCACAGGCTATTATCCCTGGATATGGCTTCTTATCCGAAAATGCGGACTTTGCCAGGTCTATCGCTGCGGCTGGTCTGCAATTTGCCGGACCAAGTCCTGCTAGCATCGAGCAGTTTGGTTTAAAACATACGGCACGGGACTTAGCCATCGCAGCCAATGTCCCAGTGGTCCCCGGTACGCAGGGCCTGGTGAACAATGCTGATGATGCTGCTGAAGCGGCAAGCAAGTTGGGCTATCCTGTGATGCTTAAGTCCACGGCTGGAGGAGGAGGGATGGGCCTATTGACGTGTGCTGATGAGAGTGAATTGCGCAAGTCATTCCAAACAGTACAATCCCGCGGCGCCGCTCTATTTAAAAATTCGGGTGTTTTCCTCGAGCGCTATTACCCAGCAGCCCATCATATCGAGGTTCAAGTGTTTGGAAACGGCCAGGGTAAGGTAGTAGCGTTAGGTGAGCGCGAGTGCAGCATCCAGCGTCGGCATCAAAAAGTTGTAGAAGAGTGTCCGAGTCCTTTTGTCGCACAGAGGCATCCAGAATTGCGGCTGAAGCTCTGCTCGGCTGCTGTATCACTCGCCGAGTCAGTGAAATACGCAAGTGCCGGTACTCTAGAGTTCCTTGTCGACGATCAAACCGGAGACTTCTTTTTCCTGGAAATGAACACAAGGTTACAAGTAGAGCATGGTGTCACCGAGATGGTATACGATGTAGATATTGTTGAACTCATGTTACGACAAGCGGACTCTCAAATCGCTGGAAAGGGCGGTTTGCAAGTTGATGAGCTACAAATTTTGGGCGAACGGTGTAACGAACCGAAGGGCCATGCGATCGAGGTGCGAGTGTATGCAGAGAATCCAGCCAAAGATTATGCCCCGTCACCAGGTCTGCTCCAGAAAGTCTCATGGCACACTCTTCCGGGGACAAGAGTGGATACGTGGATTAGAGCTGGCATCACAGTGAGCCCAAACTATGGTAAGCTCTCACAAAGAGACAAGGAATTAGCTATTGCTGACGTATTTAAAGACCCCTTGCTCGCAAAAGTCCTTCAACATGCCCCTGACAGATCACAATCAGTCGAAGCATTGAAGGAAGTACTCACAAACTCAGCCATTTGTGGCCCTCCGACAAACCTAGACTTTCTTTTGGCTATCCTGGAGTCCTCAACCTTCCAGGCCGGGGAAACCATCACACAGTTCCTCACAACCTTCGAATTTCACCTCCCTGCTATTGATGTATTGTCTGGTGGTGCATACACGCTTATCCAAGACTATCCCGGACGGCCAACCATTGGTCGTGGCTTTGGACGTAAGTCATCCTGTTTTCATTCTTACCATTGCAACTTCAAATGGAGCACTGAAAACAACATCTCAATACATATCCGAACAGTCGCCCCTTGAAGCCAATTCTGTCGTGTAATCTTCCAGCTCTTTAACTACTTAACCTCATAATGCAGCCACTAACTCCGAAGCTTCTTAGATGGAGGTCCCATGGACCCAGTTGCATTCCAGATTGGCAATGCTCTTGTTGGCAATTCTTTAGGAAAAGAAGGCCTTGAAATCACACTTAGCGGTCCAGATCTCATGTTCTTGGGAAGCGCTGTAGTGGCCCTTACGGGTGCACCCATAGTTGCGACATTAGATGGTGAAGAATTTCCTATGTGGCAAAGAGTCAAAATATCTGCTGGCCAACGGCTCACAATTGGCAAAACTCTGTCAAATGCCGGCTGTAGGTCCTACCTCGCCGTATACGGCGGGTTCCTCAATGTTGCCGAGTGGTTTGGATCAAAAGCTACCGTACCCATGGTCAGCGTAGGAGGATATCAGGGCCGACAACTTCGCACTGGAGATCTTCTTCGGGTTATTGATGAAGTGTCTTCCAATATTGTCTCCAATGGGTCACCAGTAATTCCGGACCACATCCTTCCTCGGTATAGTGAACACTGGGATGTCATGGTAATGCCAGGCCCTTATGCTGAAGGCTACCTCCTTCCCGAAGACATGGAGATGTTCTATAATGCTACCTGGGAGGTTTCCCATAATGCGGCGAGAGGTGGCATAAGGCTAGTCGGTCCAAGACCAAAGTGGGCTAGGTCGGATGGAGGTGATGGTGGTGCTCACCCAAGTAACGTCATTGAGTATGGGTATCCAATGGGAGGCATAAACTGGACAGGCGATGAGCCAGTCATATTTCCTGTCGATTGTCCTGACTTTGGTGGCTTTGTCTGTGCGGTGACAGTTATCAAAGGTGACTACTGGAAGCTTGGTCAGCTACGCTCAGGAAATACGGTTAAGTTCCATCCGGTCACTCTAGAAGACGCATTAAAGATTCGTCGAACAAACGATTCTTTTATTCACAGTCTATCCGAGGGTGTCGCTAATGGCTCAATCGAGGTCACCAAGCAATTTGGTAGCGAGCCGATACCTCCCCCGCCCACCATCTCTACCCCAGCAGTCATTAAGAGAATTGAAGAGACATCGACCCGTCCACTCATTTCATACTGCCAGGGTGGCGATGATTATCTTCTCGTGGACTACGGAGATGGTCATTTCGACATCAACCACAAATGTCGTACAACGGCGTTGAACCGGAAGCTCAAGGCTAGTACAGGACCAATCAAATTTTCCGCTACCGGCGAGGGCATCTACAATACTGTCTGTATTGGGAATTCGATGATGATCTACTATAATGGTCTTGTTATCCCGCAGGCAGAACTGCTCGAGTATCTTGTCTCTCTCGAAGAGGACTTGGGTGACTTGCATTCCATCACTCTACCAAACCGGACTTTCACATTACCTTTGACTTTCACACATCCGAAGCTCACTGAATCAATTGAGCGATACATGGCCAACCAACGACCTTACGCTAGCTATTTGCCCGATACTTTCAAGTTCGTGGCAGAGAACAATGGCATCTCGGTTGATGATTTCAAGAAACTGTGGCTGACAGCCGACTTTGTGACAGTTGGTGTTGGCTTTTTTATGGCTCTGCCAGAGTGCTTGCCAGCGGATCCACGTCATCGATTAAATGCCCCAAAGATGAATCCTAGTCGTACATTCACTCCCGAGGGTACAGTATCTTGGGGTGGAAGTTGCCTAGCGATATATCCGGTTGACTCCCCGGGAGGCTACATGATGACCGGCATGACAATCCCAGGAGTAGATACGCTAGGCTACAAGTATGGTTTCTCTCAAGACAAGCCGTGGATGTTTGAGGACATGGACGTCATTAAGTTTGAGGAAGTTAGCCTGGAAGAGTATGATCGTCAGATGGCCCTTTTCAGAAGCGGTAGATATGAGTGGAAGGTTGAGCCGTCCACCTTTGATATGAAAGCACATAATGAGCTTCTAAGAAGCGTGGAAGGCGAAGTAAAAGCTATGAAGGAGCGGCAAAAGGAATTCCAAGACAAGATGGTGGCCTTAGAGCGACAATTGCTGGACAAGTGGGCCGAAGATAAGAAAGCTAGTGGTGTATCAATGGATAATGTTCATGCTCTTCTAGACGGTAAGTCCACCATTCCTGTCTACTCTATCATGACCAATGTTCTCACATACCTTAAGAGCCTGATATAGAAGCAATCGAGGCACCAGTCAACGCCAATGTCTGGAAGGTCCTGGTTGAGGAAGGCCAGCTACTTCAAAAGGGTCAAACAGTGATCATTCTCGAGGCGATGAAAATGGAAATAAATGTGAACGTTGATGATCGGCTTGACGGTACCAAGATAGAAAAGGTCCTGATTGCACCCAATGATATCGTTCAGAGTGGGAAACCTTTGATTCTAGTCAGGACCCAGACTAGCTAGGAGCGATGCATACTAGCAAAATAACAAAATAACACTCAAGATTGACTAATAACCAACACCTTGCCACATCGCATGTTTTATGTAACTACTATTTTTGAAGTCATGGGTTAAGATCTTGGTGGGGATCACGAGTTCGCCACAGACATTCGTCCCAGCCTATCAGCACTCACATAAATCTGCCTTATAATGGAGAGGGTGTGCATGACACGTCATGATAACAACAATGTTAAAACATATTCACATTTCGTTGCACAAACCCCCATCCTGCATTTCCGTCATTCTATTTTGAGTTTTGAAAGCTGTGAAATCATGGGGATCCCTTATTCGAAGCAAATTAATACCGCTTTTGATGAAGTGACACCTCTAGTGGCTGCAGGATTTCGTGTTCTGCGAACATCTCGAAATATATCTATATTACTTGCAGTAATCCAGGTCGTGAACACTTTACTCCTCGGTATTGCCGTAATTGGCGTGCTAGCACTGTTAATTACCGTCAATCCTGATCTGGAAGAAGAGCGACGAACTCTCGTAACTCCTACCGTGAAGTGGGGTGCTGCTTGGTTTGTCGATCGCGCATGGCTTCAGATTGCACTAGCCACTATCCTTGCTGGTTGTGCTCTAGGAGGGATGTCGGGCTGGGTCTACACCCGGGACGAGTTCAAAATGAAGGATACAGTGGATAGGGGCGAGGGGATCAACACAAATGCACCTGAAGGAGGGATTAAGGACACGGATCAAAGTGAGATCGCATGATACTAAAAGCACTGAAGATCAGAAGGGAATCATTGACATTCAGACGACAAGAACTGTTAAGTTGTCTGCAACAAAATTTACGAGAGCTTACTATGCAAACCTCCTTCAAAGAAGAACAAAATTGGTCTAAGCTCAAAGCGTAGATATTAACGTGTTGCCCGTCTTTTTCTTGTGACAGCTAGTCACTTACGCTTGCTTGTCTGAGCCATTGCTATGGGCAGGCTAATGCGAAAAGCGAAAATCCAACCGTTTGTTTCCAGCATCTTTCGTTGTTGCAAAGTAATTCAGTTGCTCTTCCCTTGACATAGCATCCCATCTACGGTCACGACTCTGATTTTTTCGGATATAATATGTCTTAATAAAGGCGAACATGCAGATATTGAAAACGCAGATGCCAATAAGGACTTTGTTGCCTCGTCGATCTTGCAAACCCGATTAGCTACACTGTTCACAATTCCACTAATCCTTAATTATTTAGTTGCAACTTACATAAAGGAGCATCATCGGCCCGGTAAATATTTGACTGGATGATGAAGCCGATATTTCCCATCATGTTGTAAGCCGCGGTACTCAGAGTTCGTGTTCGTACGGACCCAGAATTCCGCGAACACCATCCGACAATTGCCGGGTGAGCTGTGATGAAAATGTTTAGAAATTTGAATGTAATTCTTATGCAATGAAGACCCACGAAATGGATATGCCACTATGAGTGAGTACACCGCATATTTGACCCACGGGTTCTCATCCTTGGGAAAAGTTAGAAGCACGATCAACAATGGTAAAGTCCACCACTGAGCAATCGACGCGACTATGGACCGTTCGTTAAAACGATGAGATAACCATGCCATCCATCCCATCTATTGATTTTATGTCAGCTATCGAGTAATCCGTTGAACATGTCTGCTGTTGGACTCACATTGATCATATACAAGGCAGATGCAGGAATTGTAAGCAGCGTAGTGTTGAGAGTACTAAACCCAAGACTTCTAATTGTGATAGTCAAATATGCCGATAGAGTGCCCATAGGTACGAATTGAAGTATGGCCATGAGGTAAATCGGCCACATATCGTAGTCTTTCAGTGCCTTCCAAAGAAGCTGGAAGTTGACGGCTTGTCTATTATGCATGTCGCCCTTGGATGGATCGTCTCGTATAACTCGATTTGCTTGGATAACCTCTTCTCGCTCTGTAAACCAACCTTCTTTACGAAAAGCCTTCCCTTTAGTTTGATAAGGACTAGCAGGGAGATAGAACCACGAGGTGATGCCAATGGCCTAAAATGCGTCAATGTATAACACATCTTACAGACGAATAGCGTACTCACTCCGGTGATGATGGCTTCGATCAAAAAGAGCCATCTCCAGCCTACTCTTGTCAATTCTGTGAACAAATCACATGCTGCAGTGACATACCAGACCAACCATGAGTTCCGTTGAGCCGCAGAATACCGTATGCCAAGAAAGCGCCAATAATGTTCGTAGCTGTCGATGCAATCCAGAAGAAAGTCAACCGTGGACCCAGTTCCTAAGTAGGCGATAGTTATAACGTGATGCCTCTGAACACTAAACGTGGATGGAATGCTTACAGCAGACTTATAGTAATACGAAAGATAGAGAACAGCATCTGGAATGAAACCACCTTCTAAAATACCTAGCAGAGCTCGAGTAGCGTAGAAACTCGACTTTCCTCTCAAAGCACACTTATGAAATAGTTAGCGCTAACTGTAGTGTTTGAATTCAATTTCAGGATGTGACCTTACTTGCGAAGCGGCAACAATACTCCACAGTGTTATTTGTATAGGTACCCAGCGATCCACACCCAGCTTTTTGCTTACAAGCTAAGACTTCGTTGAGCACCTCTAGGGCAACAGGTTTGTTATCGCGCAGCTTACTTGTGAAGGAATCTCAGCTGCAAGAAAGCATGTGTAGAATATAGTTTGTCCGTAATCTAGGAACTTCATCAGCATGCTTCACCTATAGACCAAACGTTCTTGCTCACTGTAATTGTTCGTATTTAATCCCAAGTCAACAAGGAATGAGTCACTTAAGGCTTGACCTAGAGGGATAGATTAACATTGATTCACAGCAGATTGTTGTGGGGCTTCGACTGACTGATATTGCCTCTGTCAAGTTGCATACACATAAACATCAGGCAGGTCCATGGTAGAATCCATTTGTCAATCTTGCGAACAAGCACTTTTTCTTCCTGTGGTTCCCAAGTAGCCGTGCGATCAAGTCTATGTCTTCCCTCAAACTTCTCAACAGGCTCAAAATATTGCGCGAACTCTTCATCATTATACAGAGTTGGTTTGGAGAGTGGCTTGTCGTCGGCAGGCTGTAGGTTATGAACCGAAGCTGAAACAGAAATATCTTTATTCTCGGCCATTTTTGGAGTCGATTTTAACTGTATTGGAGATTAAAAAGGTGCAAGGCACTCTAGAAAATGATTTTGCTTGTCTCAATTTTAATTAGATGCCGCGACCATTATTTGTCTCCGAAATGGCCAGGATTGGGTGAGCGACAGTCGTCGCCATTGACCTTTGATAACGGACATGGCGTTAACATTCATTGTTAAAAGTCCACGTTGCGATAAAGGAGCCATGTCGCAATCTAGACTAATTTTACATCAGTAGTGGGATTATGAGAAAGGTATGCTCTACAATGGTACGCAGGGTTATAGGTGCGCTATTGTGGCCCTAGCAGAAGCAGAGTAACATAGTATTGTATACTAGGTCCAGAATCACTAGGATGAATCGATCTTCATCGTTGGCCTTAAAGACCTTGAGCTAAGGAAATAGAGATAGTCGATTATCCAAAGGTCAGCACAAGTGGAGGAGGAGTGAACTAAGCGAGACGTGGGCTACATTTATGTATTCCAGCGAGAGGATGAAACTCGTCTAACGGCTTCATTGAATGAATATCGTCTACTTTATTGGTTCCAACATTGTAAAACGCAATTGACGCTGCGATTAGGTGATAATTATCCGTGGCCACTATTATAGGTCCAGAAAACACTATTGACATAGCACATGTCACTACAACTAAATTCGCATTGGAAATATTTCTAGCCGCTACCCTTCCAAGAAGTCACAAGCATCAATGACACAAAGATATTCCGTCTTAAATTCTGTCCAAGGCCCTATTAGCATGACTAGCAATTTGCAGGTCAACGAATTTCCTCGCTAGTCTCGTTTGTTTTGCATTTCATCCTGTTTCGAATATGTCGTTATCCATCTCATGGGTACATGATGCTTTCGGGCATGAATAGATCAAGGCATGATAGAAACTTTGATGTGTCAGAACTCCTCCCAGTAGACGTTAATCAAGCGCATGACCATAATCGATCCCGCTGTCGAATTCAGCCCCGTGGTGGCTTCTAGGATGGCCTTACCTCGCTTAACGATGATTTGCTGAAGACTCTGGTGGCTCCCCTACACTTTGTGCACACTGCAGCACACTACAGGCGCTACAGTATCCACCCCATACTTGACTGACACCCAGCACTTTGTGTCTTCAAATGCCAATCAATCATTTTTTGTCTGTAACGGATCTTCGACACGCGAAACTCCAACGGGCTAACAATGTCTATCACTACGTTTACCTGCTGGTTTCACACTGCCGTAGAAGTAGCACGGGCATCGTTTATCAATAGCCCTGACAAATTCTTTTGCCCAACCGTGCAAGCGACAGGGCTGCAAGTTGATTAGAGTGTAAATTAGTAACAGAATGATTCGCGATATCGGATTTGACCCTGCACGCTAGATACCACGCGACACCTAACACTTCAAGGGTGAAAACACTAGAGTCGATGGGCATAAGCCATTGTTAAAGCTAGGGCGCCAGAGAACCCTCTAGGTGATCACGTCTTCTAGCACCATAATGCCACCATTCGCCCCATCAGAATCTCGGATATCTAAACCTCGCGCTGAGTGCCGAAAGCCGCACGTAGATGGAAGTGATGAGGGAGATAAGTTCCATCTTCTATGCATGGCGATCTCGGGAACGGTTTGTAAGTTGTCGCCACCATGGGTTCTATCGTTAATGCCGCAGGTTCTTCATCAAATGGTCGGTTGCTGAGAGAACCGTTGCAGTTCTCCGGCGCTCTTAGCGGTAAATACCAGAGTATTGTTTTGACTCCTTCCATTGGCCAAGAATTTCCGAATGCATCAATCAAATATATATTGACCGCATCTAATTCGGACGAGCTCCTGCGCGATTTGGCGATTACTGGTATGTTCCAGTCTAGGAG